CGCTCCCGCCGGCTGTGCCGCTCCGCTGCTGCGGGGTCAGGCTCCGAGCAGGCAGCGCCTAATTGCACCCTCAGCCTCGTTGGTGCCTGATGAGCCTGTGGGGGTGTAAGTGCAGGCAGGTTGCTTATAGTAATTGTTCCTAATGGAAGCGCTTCTAATGATCACACCCAGGATTGAAATGCAGTGTTTTGGAAGGAATGTGTTGGAGAGCCCAGAGCTGAGCCTTTTCCTATCTGATCTTGATTTTTCTTTCCCCCCACCCAAGCTGTGGTGCTGAGGCAGCCCCAAGAGCCCAAAGAGCTGTGGGGATATGTGCAGGTTCGGAGTAAGGCTCACATGTTCTGGTGGCTCTACTATGCAAACCACCCAGCCAAAAACTTCACAGAATTACCTCTTGTCCTGTGGCTTCAGGTGAGTGATACATAGGTGAGAATTCTTTCCCTCTGTGCCTGGGTCAGTCTGATGGGTGTCTTGCAGCTCTGCAGAAACAGGATTTGAAATTGCTTGATTCTAAGTAACCAAGTCACCTTGTGAACGAGGTGTTAGTTTAGGAAGAAACAATGGTGATGTCCTCCTGCAATTGTGGAGTGTCCTCAGCTGCTCACCTTCGAGTTCAATTGCAGAAATGGAGGTTGTTCCTATCTTTCATATAATAGTGTTGGGTTTTGTGTGTTGCAGTGTCACACCTCCTTTCCTGGAGAGCTTGGAGTCTAAACAATGTTCAGAGAGAGAGAGTAGATAAAGTAATCAGACTTAAGAAGATTTCTAAAGAGAAGCAAGCAAGACTCTGCCTGTTGGTCCCATTCAGTCACAGCTTGATAAAGGTGGTGGCATGTTCTCCACAGTCACTCCCAGCAGTATAATTCAGAAGTTAATGTTTATTGTAATCCCTTTGAGGATTTGGTCTTTTTCTTTCTGGGTTGTTTCAACAGAGTGCAGTGCACATGCTGTACATGCTGATTAAACTAATGACTTGCAAACCCTACGGAGAGCTAACTTCTGCCTTTGCTCTGGGGATAAGGGGAAAGGCTCTGAAACTGTGTTCATGTAGCATGCAGCTCATCAGGTGCTCTCACAAGTGAGTGTCTGCTTCTCTGGTTTCTCTTGCTCTCAGAAATGGTGTGTGTGCACATAACGAAAGGCTATGAGGAACAGAACCTGCTTTGCAAATCAATGTGTAGTGCAAAAGCTATTTTTAAATGTTTACAATCTGTCATTCTACTTCCTGATTTGCTTTTATTTTTCTCCTATTTGTTGTAACTATGCCATGCTGCCTTTCAACTTCTTTGTGATTTGGTATTTCC